TCATCGTTTATCAAATGGGTTGAACATCTACTCGGACTAAAAAGTGCTTTTAATGTACACTGTTACAGTTGGATAGCCAAAAACAAAATAACTAAATTTCACGAGTCTTCAGCACTGTAAGCCTACTTATTGGCCATCCATTCAATCCTTCGAAGCTCGCAGAGTAAAACCGAAGAAATGAATGAAAATGATTGCGCAAGGATTGGGCAAGTGGATTAGGACATTGAAATGATAGGAAATCGTGGTGACTGTTAAAATTGCTGCTAGAGGTTTTCTTTTCGTGTGTCATCAATGGCAGCAGGCAAGGTACCTAGCGGCCCAGCGCTCCAGTTTTCCAGCTGTGCTCTGGCGTCCTCACCTCATTCGTCGATTGTAATAGAAGCCTCAGCATCAACGAAGTGAAGTAAGGAATTTAGATAAAAGTTATTCAGATTTAAGAAGAAGGTGATTGGAATTACACGAATACTAAATTCTCGGTGCGATTGGCTAAATGGTCGTCACCTTAATAGGACGGTTAGCCTGATCTGAGCCTACCACAGCTAGAGAACCTAAAATTGCACAAATGTACATACTGGGCCACTGAAGTGATCGAGTGATTTAAGTAGTCTCCACTAGACAGGTATGTACGCCCTCTTCATACGTCCTTTGCTTAACCATATGCGTCGAAAAATGCTGACCTTAGTATCGAGGCCATGCTACTGACCACCTAGTGTTACTGAATACGTGATTGAGGCCTTAAAAGGGCAGAAGCTTGAGCACAGTAAAGGTTTTTAGTAGCAAGTTTATTTTTAACACCTTGATAAGTTGAAAATCGTTTGTTTAATAGGGATAAGGTGTCATCAATCTCGCTTTGAGCCCCAAGACAGCAGAGGCACCGTTTATTGAGAATGAAAAGCAAGTGGAAGGAAATAGACAGACTGGAAATTGGGAGAGTTGTACTCGCTCCTTCACGTGTACTGGCTGTGGACAGGGGCAAGTGTCTACTTTGTACATCGTTTGGTACCTTAGCTGTTGTCAACGTCAAAACGCATTGACAGTTCCTCGATCATCACATATTACTATCACTTCAGTGTTAGCCTAACTGCTTGATCCCAGTTCTTGTGAACAACAAAGGTGGGACTCACAAATGTGCACATGGAACTCTAATATAAAAGGGACCCTAAATCTCTTGTAAGAAGAAACCCAGACTAGTAGAGAATATGACGACTTTCTCAACTCTTCCATCTTCATCGTGCAGTCAACCAGCACTAAATATCCAAAGGCTTCTGGTCTTTGGGCACTGAAGCAATAGCACAAGAATCTTCTTACCTATGTCAGCGGAGAGAGCACACGAAGAACCAAATGAAGCTCTGTTTGTATATCTGCACCCACCTGTTTTTTCATATTCCGATATCACGGGCTCAATGTGAGGATGACGACGCCCTTACGTTAAAAGTTAACTTCTCTGATGTCCAATGTTTTGGTTTCATGCACAAATAAATGACCGAGTTGCTGCAACCAGCACCTCTGTCTATACACTTTGCTGCGTCGATTTTTTCCTTTCCATCTGGTGTTATTGTGAGCAAACAGTTATTTACTAACTCTAAAGGAATATAAGCGATTGCCTACGAGTTGTACAAATAAGGAGGTCAGGTTGTGGTCATCCCTACAATTACGGGAGGTGCTTCAGGTTCTCATTGACCTGTGGCCTACCGAAAAGCTCTCGGTCAATGTGTATCACTAGACTCCAGGATCACTCTGGTACTCACCTCTCGAAACGCTGTTTCCCAGGCTTAAAGGGTTTGTGTCGACCTGTCAGACCCCGGTTTTGAATTAGTTTAATGTTCTCAAAAGAGCACAACTGTTGAAATTACAAACCTAGGCAGCTTGGATAAAAGACTCTGGGTTTGTGTGGATGCCAGCGCATTTGGGACCCACTTACGCATAAGAGTTGGATGGTGAATTTTAGTACCTTATTTTCGACTTCCTACTGCGCCTCTGTAGTTAGTTCTCCCTACCACTGATCTTTGCATCTACAATAAATAATTTTTTATAGTTCTGGGTATTATAGGCCTACTTGTTGGATATTCCATAAATTTTCCATATAGGGTGGGACTTCTAGCTACGTAAAGTTAAAACGAGTAGGTTTAATAGAAATGACCGGCTAGCCACTCTTGCGTAACACAAGGATATTACAAAAACACGTAAAGTCTACGCATTGCCGATCTCTCATTCCAGAGCTTGGTACCCTACATTATTTCTTTGGGATGAAACAAGGCCTCCGCAGTTTTGTTGATGACCAAACCCTACCGACAAATCTAGCTTCTGATTGCTCAGAGTGAAGCCTTCTTGTTAGCAATGAGGAAGCGCTTTCGACTCAGGTAGGCGTTCCTTTTTATTTTCAAAAATTTGGGATTTTGGGAAAATTGGAAGGATAAAGACGGCAATGAGATTGATGCATATCTTATCAGCGGCGTTGGATTAAAAACTTTGGACTTTATAAATGAACACGACAATGATGCATAGTCAAAGCTTAGAATGATTGTTGTCAAGGCTTCTAAATGCACATCAGTTTATTTTTAACACACCTTTAAAACAAGGCATAGGAAAACAGTAAATATACGGAGATAAATATGGTGGCTTGTATACCATCCCAGTAATCCATTAGTAGTAGCATTTTTCGCATAAAATTAATTCTCCCTAGCGCATTCCTTTGCTGCACTGTCAATGTCACAAGGACTTGATGCTCACATACAGTGTAACAACTTGCTGCCCCATCGACTCGAAGTTAAATTGCTCCGGCAAATCTCCTCAAAGACCGGAGGTACGCTACACTTGTTTAAAGCTCTAACTACGGCTACACTGCTCAGTAGCGTATCAGGTTGTACCAGGAAATGAGTGTGTTTGGGATTTGTCAAAGAATTCCAATTTGTCTTTGGTCTGAATTCAAGGGAGGAAATCAAATCGGAGCAGTCCACCCTCGACCTCAGCATCACTCTGAGCCCCATCAAAGGGGATCGCTTTTTTATAACATTTTAGCGTGTTATACGATACGAGAATGACAGTAAAACAAGAAAGGAGTTGAAAAGAGAAATAAAAGAGGCCAGGGGAAACTCAAGGGTGCAAGGTTTCCTACTTTGTGTAATCGCCAAACGAGTTGGAAAATAAAAGTGCTCTTCTCTCAGGGGTACATGTGTCGCATCAAATCACCCTTCCCTGTTTTGTTCATAGATCTTCAATTATTCAGGCCTTCTTTTATTCGGTGTTACTGAGCCGGTTGAATTTTTTACATATGTAATTGTAGCCGACGTTTTGTCACAGTGTCGGCAGTTTGAATAACATTGGTCCTACGATTTTATTCACAAAGTATTTTTACTTTATTCAAGAAATGAAGAAAGGAAAAGTGTCCCAGTGATTACGTTCATTTCCTATAATTTGCCTAAATCATTGTTAATATAGAAGAAAAGATAATTTTACAGTAGTCTTTAACAAAAATCGCAAGTAGCAAATACTTCTCAAATATGTTAATTGGGATGATTTTTTAAGTAGAGGTTGTAATCTAAGTTAATTAACGTGAAGTATTTCAATGAGGCAAGTGATGAGAAAGCAGGAGAATCTTGATTTTTTTCCTTCTGTGCGGATGCTGACAGTGCATATGCTATTATCATAAATAAAAAATGGTGTTAGAATTGAAATACAAGAGCCGAACAAGGGCGGGTAAAGGTGCATTAAATAACCATTCAACTGAAGCAGACGAGAGATTGGATTTCGATAGGAGATCTAACAAGAAAAGTAGTTAGCGGATATGATTTTTAAGATATTTGTCTCAATGCTTAACTTCCAAGTCTGAATAAGTAAGCTTAGGCGGAATTTTTACCTGACCATCAAACACAATTGGGCTAGCTGCTAATGTGGAATAAATAACCAGTTAACCGACCAATGACAAATCAAAGTGTAGCGTCCCGAGACTCCCTGAAGACGAAAGAAGACAAAATACTATAGCAGAATATATATTCAGCACGGAGAAGGTGCCTGGGCCATTGGCATGACCCAAAAGGCCAGCCCACCCAACGAGGTACAAGGGGGCTGATTCAAAGTACAAAAAGTGGCGCCTCACCAGTACCGAGGGATAAACCACTATCGTATTACATAGCCTCCCTCCTCTTTTGAGCGTCGTCCCTGGCGCTCCCACGTCAGCCATTACAACGTAGTCGGTGTTGTAAACACCCACGATCCGATCGTGCCAGTCACCAAATTAGCATGCAAATGAGGAGATACTTGACCTCAATGTTACTGATCCCTCTTGGCAGCTTTACTGGATCCGGAGTTGCGTGTGGTTTAGGAACTTGATCCAGGACGGGGAATTGCACCGGCCATCATGCGTATCCGTAGATGGATGTAAGAACACTGGCCTAAAAGTGGATTTGTGCAAGGAAGGACGGGATTTGATACAGGTCCATGAGGGGTGGTAGGGAAAGTCTGTAACGAAACTTCCAGATGGTTCACGACTAGTGTCGCCTCAGTTGTTAATAGCTTTGATGCAGAACACGGGACTAGGATAGATGCTTAAGGTAGACGTCAACCTCAATCCTTCTATTAGGGGTCATCACCATTCTCCCATCCGTAGCATATGTACTTCATCCGCTTCACTAAGTTTTATCAAGCAGCAGTGAAAATCAGGATACACGTCTTTCAAGATCGAGTTCACTTTCCGCTGCCACCAATGTAGCGTCCCGAGACGCCCTGAAGACGAAAGAAGACAAAATACTCGGGCAGAATATATATTCAGCACGGAGAAGGTGTTTGGGCTATTGGCATGGTCCAAAAGGCCAGCCCATCCAACGAGGTACAAGGGGGCTGATTCAAAGTACAAAAAGTGGCGCCTCACTAGTACCGAGGGATGAACCACTATCGTATTACAAAAGAATGGATGAAAAACCCAATACAATGGCTTCTTTGGAATTTCTTCAAAATTTCTTAATTAAAAAACTCATCTATCTAATGCAACCGTTGAGGCATCCCTGAGATAAAGCTGGTGAAAGAAGTTTTCACATTGAAAATCGAAGGAATATACCTTTCTTTTAGGTTATACCTACGGCTCTGCTCACCTTAAAGCCAATGACTTATATCTAGGGCCTTTTGGAGCCAACTTAAATTAACATAGTGACCATTACAGGCGAGAGAGGTGACAAAAGTCTATTGAGGTGGCTTTTGAATGTTAGGTTGCTACCTTTCTTCCTGTTGGAATTGATGGCTCTGAAAAGAAAGCACTTAAACAAAATAATTTAGTCAACTTTTTTCCTTTTAAAGACACTTAGAATTGACCGCAAAGGCCATAATAGCCTTCGTAGGTAATATAGAAGTGGACTGAGAGAACCATATCATACATCCCCCTCTCAGCAAAGGACTTCCTTCTCAATCAATCACCGTTTTGATTTGAATACAATATGCCTTAAAACACTAAAGTGGTAGACTGGAATAAACAATAAAGGGGCAAAACAAGGGGCGGCACAACCCACTTTATCTTTGTTCTGTTTCTCATTTCTTTAGATTCTTGGAAATTCGTCCCCTTCCACTTTTCTCTGAAATTTGCCAAGTTGCTAAAGCCCCATTCATCCCAATGACACCTTCATGTAAGTATCAGAGCAGTGCTATAATCACATTTAACCTGTATCCATAATATCCACACATGAAGGGCCTTGACTAGGGAAAGAGATCCATCTCAAGTTACGGATGCGAGAGCGATCTCACACTGTTAACACTGCAGGATGGCCATTCGCTGACATAAAATTGACGAGGTCCTCCCACTTTCACTAGGTAAAACTCTCTCCAAACGCATACCTTACCATATACATTTTGGGAAAGCTGAACTAGTTTTGTGAAGTGTGGATTTTCTGAGTCGAAAACTAACTGCATTGCATTTGTAACAGATATCACGTATGCCGGCATCGGGTTAAAAGCAAAAATAATTGTGCAGGAGATTTGATGCTCTGCAGCATAAAAAAGGAGAAAGTGAAAAAGAAAAATGCCTGCCTAGTTTTGTTACATTGCAAAGGCGACATCAAACAGTATTCCTTATTTGAATTCATCTTTTACATTGTGCTACTTGGCGCTTAGTAGTACTGTTACGGAGCTTTCAAAATCGAATCGTAGATGCCGACGTGGTAGCCAAATAGGGTTAGGAGCCATGCAATGGCATTTCATCGCGCACTACTGACCAGCATCTCATTTGCACGCTTTAAAAGTGTTGCATTTAACTTGCACAGGTGAGTTTATTTTCAGGAATGATCAAATTTAATTAAAAGTTTTATTCTTTCTTGATGACGATTTGAAGGACAGTTAATGTTGGTGCATGAGCTTAAGTGATTGCTTATGTTTTATGAACTTGTCAACTATTCTCACATTAAATTAATAACAGTTTGCCCCACTTTCTGTTAGCATGATTCTCTGCAATTTGCCTTTTTATTGTTGCCTAGAAAAATTCCAAACACAAGCGCATATTATTTACTTCATTCCGCAGAAAGGGTTTGATAAAGCAGCTTTAATCTGGCGAATGAATAGCCGTATGAAGAAATCTCTCATCTCACCACGCCTTGACTCAAACTAAATTTCGTGCCAGCTTTAGAGAGGCAATAAAACTAGCTAACAAGACACGCTACATGAAGAGCACGAATTGATTCATAGAATATGAGAAAGAGGAAAGCTGTTATTCGCTTAGATTGGTAGTACTTACTACAACCCAATCGAAAAAATTGCCCAAGGGAGTTGCAAAAGGAAAGGGCAGTCACCTCAGGTGGCATTTTCAAATGCAACGCCGTGTCGTCCAAGCATTGATCAACTTTTGAGAGTCACATTGGTTTACATAAAATGGTGAGCTAAAGAGAACCAGTAAAAGCCATTAGAGGTGAACAAAAAAGAACAATAAAGTACGGCGAAAATTAAAAACTGGTGTTATGTAATAAAACTACTACCTCTGAAGGACTCATTTCTTTCGTTTTCAATAAATATTCCCTTCATGCACAATATCTTCGACTTTAAAGATTCTTTTCTGCTAGCTGTCCTCTCTCAAGTACTCAAAATGACACTATGCCTTAGGAATGAACAAAGAGGCACTTTAGATTTTTCTCTACCTTAGAGGGCCTATTAGACAAGACCAAAGAAAGGCGTATATAAGGTAAATTGGATATATCCAAGAATTGCATTGCTTTAACACCTGCTACTTTCTGTTCGCCTATTAAATTGGCAAAAAAGGTGGAACAAAATACTCTCACAGTTCACTGCTCTTCCTCTCTAGTGGCCATCGTAAGGATTCATCTTTTTCTGACTTGTAGGAGCACTTCTTTCAAATCCGATGTTGCGTCCAATATAGGACTGAGGTTTGTAAACGAAATATCAACAAAAATGAGCACATCTGCGGTCACTTTGTCATTGCAGCATATTTGGGACATGACTGTTTCATCATATCATTTTAACTGATTGCATAAGGTCATATTACAAATGAGCCATATCTTAGGAAATTCGAGAAGTGCCAGTGGAGCCCTTTACTTTGCTAAAGCAATTGTCGGTGTCACATCCAAAAAACTGATAAAAGATTAGGAAATGGGTGTTTTGGTCAATTCTTTTCCGAGCCAGATTCTAGTAGTGAACGTCGTAGTGAGCACCTCTAGGTAATAAGATGAGCACTTAGTGAGAGGATGTGTCAAAGTCCTGATAAGGAGTTAGCGATGGACCGTGTGATATTTATAGGCAAAGAACAATAAGGGTATACACCGAAAACCATCAAGCCGTGCTGGACCATTATTCGATTATTCAAAATATCCTGATTAGGAAAAAAGAATAATGCATAGTTTAATGGAATGAGGTTTTGATCGCTAAATAGATACGTTTCTGAAAATGCTTTAGAGATTCAGTGGGAAAGGATAGTATCGGAAGTGCACCACAAAAGTATAAAGAGCATTGCAACCACATTTAGCCCCTCATCTCGATTTTTAACGTTTGGAAGACATTAAACATGCGTGTCAAGAGAAAGATTTATATGGGCTGTTACATGTAAGATTTTTAATTCAGCGACACCGGCTTAGTATCATCGCCTCAAGCCCACAACGTGGGTAGGAAACAGAATAAATTACCATAAATATATTCAACTTGCAGTGTGTATTCCTGTGATGTGCTGCCTCTTCAACCACACACGAATTGGAATGAAGCGGAAAATTTGCAGGAGAGTGAGTAAACACGAGACCTTTTACCCAACGGGACTGGCATCGACTAAAGCAAATGACAATGTGAACAGTCGAGTTCGGCCATTGTTTGCGTAATTCTGTGGACACCGTTCATTTTGGACTATGCACAAGGAACAATTATGTGGAGAATGACGAAAGGCTCATAGATCAACTAAGATCTTACAAGGACATAGTTTGACCCAGTATATTCTCATTATGTTACCTTTCCGATGCGAGGTGAGAATGGTCCATTCAAAATATGTTTGTTGATAAATGCAAATGATTTCTCAGCAGAGTAATTTCGACTCTTCACCATTCAATTGTTGGTGTTTGCAATGTTTTACCACTTGTAATAGTTCCAATATTGTTAAAACAATGCATGTAAATTTAATGATGTGTGTATTAATAAGAAAAGGAAACTAAGTTGTGTCTTGCTGGCGAATTGCCTTTAAATTGGCGAATGTGCATGCGCCTTGAATTCTGGACAATTCCGAAAGTTGGATTAGAACTGAAATTAATAAGCTTATGACATGAAATAATGTGTAGTCTCACTAAGCCACCTGGAGTGGAAAACGTACCAGCTTCCACTTTATATGTTGTAATATATGATTTTTAAAGTACTCTTTTGGTCTGAAGCGGTCAAAATGTACAGATTTTTTGCCCTTTAGGGAAGGAACCTGCCCCGAACTCCATGCATTCAATCCTCTGTACACTCTGATAACACTTATCCAATCAAAGATATCCCCATCCAATCAGTCTGCCAGTCATTATAGTTAAAATTTAGAGGTGAAAGGGAGATATGCTAAAATTTATAAAGCATTTTCTATTCAAGGCCTCACTGAAACCCTGCTGTCGGTGAAATATTGTCACGAGTCGAAGACTAAGCAAGATTTAATAGTGATTTTTGCATTCGAGAAAAAAAAAGATTTGTTGCGCCATTTCATGCAAACTGGATAACACCGCTAGTCATCGGCAACGCAGTCTATTGTAATTTAATATTATGGTATTATTACAGGTTGAATTTTGTTTAAAATTAAATATGCAAATCTCGTACTTCATTAAGAATTATTTTTGTCGACTAGTTTTATAAAGCCTATTTATCTGTTTAGCGGTTGGTAAACAAATTTTTAAATCCTTTTTAGTACTAAGTCAATGTCAGACACAAGGCTAAAAAAATTATTTCAAAATGGTACACTTGTTCGACATTTCGTTTAGTAGTGTATTTAATTACGGGGAAACATCTGCAGCATGAATACAGCTGTCAATCTCCTCTGTACGTTAGCAATATGGCACTTTTTCCTTAATATTTTGCTCTTCTTTGGCTGGAGGGAGGAGTTGGAGAGCTACACTAGCTATTGTCAGCTGCAGCTTTTGCCATATACTGATCTAAGCCAACAGTCGCATAATGAAGCAAAGCATCCTAACTTTGCGTGCTTCCCATTGTTGACAGGGTGTCTGACTGAGAAACGCACAAGAAATGCGTTACGTCGCCTTTAGGAAGAGTGCAGCATATTGAAATAATTCAACCGAACCATCGTCAATGTTGCAACAAATGAAAACAAGCTAAAATTAGGGGTTTGTGCCTTTTCAAAAGCTCCAGTAAAAATATTTTCCCTAAAAGAAGCCCTTATGCTATTGCCAACAACTTAACAGCTAATGTGTTAGTGATACCTAGTATTGTCAGCGCTGAATTTCCCTGTCAGGACAAACGGATTAGAGCAACAAAAATGGAAAAAGCATAATCTCATTTAAAATAAACGATTATTTTAGGATTCACTAAAGATTGGGAACTCTCATTCTACATCCTTTCCTCCCAAACTCCGTTCCACCTAGGCATGACAGAACAAACGGTTCAAGCAAAAAAACTATTGTGTTTAATAATCGTTGATGTTTGCAATAAGACTAAGGTGGGGAAGTTTATTCTAATGCAAAGCAGAATACTCTGGCAAAAAGACTCACTAATAATAAGAAATAAAAATAAACGGGTGCCAAGCATGGAGAACATGCAGGTTTTCTCTCTCCTGCCTGCCTTTTAATGGGAGATGTTTCCTTTAGTGATCGGTTAACTATTGAGAGACCTTCTACAAAGTAAAACCAACTAGCAGCCTGCTTCTCTTTTCGCTTCATGATATGGGACTCGTTAGCTGTAAACAATCTCCCTTGCCCTACACATGGAGGTGCAGATGAATAAATTCCTGCAACACTACTCTGCAATAGGAGGAGGGTTTGGTTTGAAGATACCCCCTAACACGAAGTAAGAAGGCTAAAATTGGATGTTTCAATACGTAGATTTGAATTTGTCTATATTTTGGGGATCTGCAACGCCCGCACAACCAAGTGTTTGATCCAATCTATCCTCACGCCACCTAAGATTGCATTAAACTTTATTGTGATTTATAAGTATATCGTGTGATTATCTTTTAATTGTAACTACTATTCTCTAAGTACTTACCACAGAGAGTCAACCATGGTATTTCGGTACTTATTGCTCGCATTAAAGTTTCTATTCCATGCAATTCCTTTCCACACTCAATTGTAATAGTCACCGAATGGATTTTCCCTCTGCTCAATCTCACACCTCTGTTATGATTAGGCCTACTCCAAATCCCGAACCATAGAACCACTTTATGACAGTGATCACCGCCACCTCCCCTTAGCATTCATTAGGGCATATTTAGTTTAGTCCGAATGAACCACAGCTTCCTGTGTGAGCCTTTACCACTGATCCGTCGACATTCATTATTCACGATGGTATATAATGCTTAATTAAAGATGAACTTTGGCTGTATTCATTGGAAAGGGATCAGTTAATTTAAATTTAAATGAGCTGGAACTTTTATCCCAAAACAAGCTGTTAGTGTTCAAAGCGAAAGGACAGAACAGGATCAAATGAGTGAGGCAAAATAACAATGAGTGACCAAGAACGGCGTCATCACCGGAAATTGTAAAAGCATAAAATCATACGTCGCTGCTAAGCATTTGAGACCGAATCCACCCACCATGCTACACAGGATTGTGAAAAGCCTAAATGGACCTCTGAAAGTCATCTCTCATAGCAACGAGTGCTTAGTCAATTAAGCAGGAAACAGGAAGTGAGTCCAGCTGTGTACAAAAGAAACAGTAAGCGATGGTATAAAATCCGTCGTAATTTATTACGAGGTCGCCATCATTGAAAGTCGTAGTAAAGCAAAAAGTCTTTAGCGGAGGGTTGAATATTGATGGTCACGGGTATTTACAGCTACTTGAGAGATGATAGGGGATGTTATTTCTCCGAACTTTCGCCTTTATTCGTTTTGGTAAATGATACATTTGAACTCTGCAGCCGTAAATGAGACGAATTGTCCACGTTCAGTTTGAATTTAGAACCTAAAAAAAATTGCAAATAAGAATTCTTTGCTGTAAAGTTGTAGACCATGAGGTCAAGACAACTCAGTATAACAAAGCACAACTAGTTGATATCACCTGAGTAAAATACTTTACAACAGTTAATGCATAAAAAAGGCATGAAATCCATTTTTTAAAGTAAAATCATATCTCAGAAAATGTGTACCCAAACAAAAAGTTGAGTAACGTAGTAAAGTCAACGGAAGCAAGTACTCAAGCGCCCAGATCAAATTACCTGCAACTTGCGTGGGTACTTCGTCTTTGGCATCAGTTTTAAGGGAAGGAGAACTGGAATGCGCAAAAAATGATCAGGAAGTACAATTGCCTTTACATGCATTTCTAAGAGGATGCCAAGAGTGAACCTATACCTAGCAGAATATGCAGTCACACAAAGTTAGTTTTCCTTGATAAGTTTTAGATTTATTCAGCTAAAAAGATATGCTCTTTCTCCGGTTGACTTGGGAAGATCTGCCTGCCCCTAATACAGTGGGACTGAGTGGGAAAAAACTAAGTTAACAGTTGTGGCATTCTTAAACACCACGCAAGCCTCTGTATCAGTAGCACTTGCGTAGTCGACCCTTCCATTGTTGATGAAGTAGTCTATCAGGGCGGTATAAGTTATATTCCCACCTAGCCTCAAACATTTAATTTCCGTGCGTTGATGGTATTGGCAACCACCGAATTGCTACAAGCAGGGGGGTTGCAGACATGGGTCTCATACTAAAGGAAAGTGGGTAATCAAATGCTTGCGCACATCCGTTTATGCTCATCAGGCAAGGTGACGCGAAGATTCACACCCTTGAAGCGGGGAGGGGCCGCCGCCATTGCCATTTGGAGAGCCTCTGCAGTGGAGGAATTGACGGAGGCTCTGAGCATATTTGCATCCACCCTCACTTGTGTAACGGTACCAAATCGACCAAAGAGGCTGCGAATGTCATTTTCTTTTGATTTGGGCGGAAGACCATCGACAATGAGCTGATGACCTGTTTTGGCAGCATTAGCAGCCGCCCCTTCTCTGCAAATGAACGAAAGTCATTTCGATTCAACATCGCATCGTTTGGAGTGCAGCTGTAACTATGGAAGCCCATTTGATACACGCGAATTTCAAATACCGAATTCCAAAGAATAATTTGCGCTTACATTGAACCCTAGCCCAATTTTAAGTTCAAGGATAAGGCTAACTTACTGTTTCTTCGACTTTAAAGGCTCCAACTTCATTGTGTCACTCTTAATGAAGCGCGAGCAACCAACCAGTGTACGATTGGTAGATTCCACCTCTTTTAAGGTCACGGAGCTGCTGTGTCTCGACTCCTCCAACATGGAATCGAGAGAAATGCCGCTGCCTGCGGCGTCACTAAATTTGCCACCTACCGGAGGCTTGTAAACACGCCTAAATTTATTATTCCACATTTGCTCATCCTTCGGTTTTTGCATCCGATTCTGTCCCCGATGCCAGGCAAGCAGACAGATTTGTACCAAAATTGTGAAGTTGGGTTGCAGATCGGCCACGTGAAATGCCAAATGACAGTGGATGCAATATACTGTCATGGCTCTGTTGTGTGGGAGCAGACAGGGTCGTAGGCAGAACGTGTGTCCGCATGGCAGGATGTGAGGATCGTTCATCCTTCCCGACACGAAAGAGATAACCGCAGTTAACTGCTTTGTCGCACAGGAACATACCCATTTCAATCAGATTTGGCAGCGTAAACTCGAAATGAGACACGCATATTACACACAAATGTGAATTCACTGATCAACAACCTGACTATTCCCCTTTACCGCCACAGACACCGTTGTGTAAAATCTTTTGTGTGAGGGAATGTATGAGGCGCTGCAGAGTTAAAGACGACACACAGAAGATTTACTATTATTTTATGAAGAGTCGCATCTCTATTCTTGCAAATATTTCATACTTTAACTCTACGCTGCACTTATCGCACCAATTAGACTGCCCTAGGCACTGCTTTTGTGAAAGAGCATGACTCTCCACCTTCTGCACATGCCTTTTAATCTCCAGACAGCTCCTTACGCATTTATAACCATGTTGATTTGGCTGAACTGGTTAAGCTGATTAAATTTCGGGGAATACACCGCACTCTAACAAGTCGTTGGATGTTTTGTCACACTTATCTTGCTAAAGGCGCCACCATCATTCCTCTTATCTACTCCACATGCCTACGCGCTCCTAATCCGTTCAAAGTTGACCACCCTTATCTATGATTTGGACAATGAAACCACTTACACCACATTTGTACTCATAAAACTATGGTAAGTGGCGACATTTCACATATACTTCAATTTAAATGCCAAATCCATCTGTGCAAAAGCTCTCAATTGAACCACTTAGTGATCCACTCGGATGAAAGTTATTCACTGATTGAATGGAAAACCATTTGAACTGTCCTATAAGTACAACAAGAAAACATTATTGAATAAATAACTTACAACTTTCTGCACACTCCACATGTGAGATCTGCATCGGGTGTATCCATCGTCTAGCCACACCACCCTCCGATCAAGTGATGTGATGTGCGGCTCACACAACGGTTCTACACCGAGAGACACTTTTGCCACTTCTATTGGTTAATTCCTTTGATGGTTTAACCAATCAGTACAATAAGTTATCACATTTCAGTCAATAAGACGCACATGATCCAAACAATGCCCCGCCACTTAAGCAATCTTTTAGCTTGATTGAGTACTGGACTTCTCTCGATTAAGAAAAAACCTTGCTATCATTCATTGATAGCCTGAGTGGAATGAAGTGAGCAGACAAGTGGGTTTCAACTCGTACCATTCATTGATCGAGTGTTGGTGCGCAACCACCGTAGAAGTATGGTAGATTTCAGTAAGGGATGAACAATCATTTTTATTTTTCAGCTCCAAACGGGCTGATGATGGTCATGATGGTGGTTGAACCACCCTGAGATTTCATTTGGCATTGAAGTGACCATTCATTGATTATTACTTTTCCTTTTTTTGCATGTCACTCTGTCAGTAGTTGATAACCACATTACCTTTTACGTAGTGCCTGCTTCTCTAACTGTGAATCAGTATATATAGTACAACGGCAGATATCATTCATATGACAGCATTGCCTTCCTTTCTGTTCTAATGCGTATACTTACCTTTCAATCAGTTAACCTTCAAATTAACACACCGTCACACACCTTGATTAAAGGCCAAAATGATCCCTGTAAATTTAACATGATGGATGATTCGATCTTCATGAGGCTGCAGCGAATGGGCAGGATGTTTATTGTTATGCCATAGCTGCGGAGAATTTTTGCTTCATGGTGGAAAGAAGTGATTGGCATGTAACGCTTGAGCAATGAATCCTATTGCTCAGGGAAAATCAGGATTGACTAACTCTTGAGGGACTTTACCCTCGTCATTTGTGATTAAATTGAAATCCCTCCCACAACTCCTAACCCTCTGCGACTTTGGAGGCCGAAGTTAGGTGCGACGTGGCCCTGGTAACGTCAGGCGCTGCCCCTTTTTTGACCATCAATAAGCCACTTTTTCTTCTTTTATCATCAGATAAAAGATATGCATTACAGCTTGCGTCTTTATCACTTCTTACAGTAATCGGAAATGCCGCCCCTAGGACATATCCTATATTTTCAAGAGAAGGCAAGTTTAAGTCTTGACGTAGGCAATGGGGCAAAGAATTTTAAAGTCCCTAAAGAAGGTAAAAATTAAACGAACTTTTGAATGGATGTCCTGTGCTCAGCACTGTAATATGTCCAAACACCACGAGGCACTTCTGATTTCAATCGGACTCGTCAATACCACTTTAACTGCCAGGTAAGACAAGCAAATTGGTCAATCTTTTCTTCGCTCACATTTGTCATAGTCAAGATGAGGCCTATTTTCACTTGACACAACAAACCAATCCTCGCCTTGCTCTGCAGAACATGCAAACTATCACCAGTCTGTCTGGAATGTGCTTCAGTGAGACGTGAATTCCACTCTCCACGCCGTGCTTCTACCTCAAAGGTTATGTGCACTGCTTCAGACTGAACTGGCGACACTGATCACTCCAGTGGGCATGATCAAATATTGCGATGGTTGCGGAAGTGAATTGGAGGTGACCTCAATGGCATTAGTGTGCCCATAGTTTTTCTTCGCAGGGGCCTTGGCTATTCCCAGCACACCACTTCATCCCATGACATGAAGCCGTAGTTCACACCCAGTAGTGTGGGAAATGGAGCAATGCGGGGGAGTGTATTGGCATAGTGCAGCCAGCAAATCAAAACTTGTAATGGTAACACATAAAATTAACCATCGAGGGCGTCTTTTGTGATGTGAGTGAGGACATGGGACAGTGTATTGTCATCCTGCAGACCAGACATTTAAGGATGTAGTTGACGAGGCCAACAGATCATTGTTGGCGTAGAGGCCATGTTGAGGTAGGTATGATACCTTATCCCAGTCAGTGGAATGTCGCTGATTTCAATGATATTTATCTCATTCGTGTTTATTCCATTACCATTTCAAATTTTCGTGTGCCGTTGAAATCGCATTAAAATTTTCAGCTTAAAAATTGTGATTGAGGTTGAATAATGCGTTGCAGCAAGCATTTCATAAGCTTACAAATGATAATGCGACTAAGAGGAAAGGATATTATATAGAGTACAGGTAAAGAAGTTATTTAACAGTGCATCAAAATCGCTCTGGCTCTAATTGCATTTTTTAATGCTAGTTATTAGTCTATATTCCTTCAATCGTCTTGTTGTTTTAGTGCTTCCTGACCAATTATTTAAGCATTTCTAACTTCTTAAAGTAGCTGAATTTAAAGGACACTTCGCGCAATCTCCCATAGCTGGTCTTTTAGCCACTTGTTTGGTTAAAAATTCTGTAGCAAATACTAAGGATTACCTCAGGTAAGCAAATTGTGCGAAGGCGGCACAAGAATGGATGAATGCAGTCTTCTCTCTGCTGACTGCCTGGTCCTTTTTTAATAATTTCGGGAAGCACATGGTCCTTTGGAAGACTTGTATGAGAAGTTCTTATATTCTTTCTTAATCAAACATTCTTTGAGGTCAAACTCTGATGAGCTGACAGCTCCATGACACCATGGTGACACTACTACCACTTAGGTTACAGGAGATGCATTCATTTTAAGGTGTCAAAAAACCATAGCTAACTAAAGTGATTCCTCATCTCATTCCGAAGAACAATAAAAATTAGGGGTAATCATTCGCGCTTCGATAGCCCATATGGATCGCCAAGCCAGTATGGTTTAAACGCGAACCGAAAGCCTTAAGGCCAGACGTTAATGAGCTGACATCCCTTTGACTCCACAGCTACAATAATGTTATTTGGGTCCTAATTGATGCATCATTTTACGTGTCTAAATTTCACATTCCATTCTTCCAGTTTTAATAATGCTACCTTCTCAAATGACGCTACGCGATGGGACTATGCACCTCGTCCTCAGTCAAGTTGACGAGTTTGCTTCCGTCCTTGTGCATAGTCTTAGAGTGTTGCAGAGGCAGCCACTCCCATTTACTCCTTCGAAGAGGCAAATCATTCAAGCCTCACCCACCATCACAGTGATAAATTCATGTCGCTGCTAGGGCATTACTATGAAAATGCTTTCGCCTGTAACCACAAGGGTCAAACTCGAATGGCTTCAAGTGAACTCAGCAATTTATCTCTAGGTACAAATAGGAGTGCGATCTGGCATCATGGTTACACTGAAAGATGGCCAATTAAACTCACTGATCAAATAAAGGACACCCGAATCAGCACTCGCTATCGGTCTGTGGATCAGGTCGTCTCACCTGTGCAAAGTAAAATCAGGTTCAGTAATGTATCTAAGTTTTTTTAAAAAATTCACCGATTTTCCAGACAAAATCCATTCATTGCACATTACAAACCAGCATTCCATTTGCAATTCCGCGACTGTAACATCTGACTTTTTTCGTTGAATTTAGTACGAGATGTGCTTAAATCAGCTCAGGATTATTTAATTTTTCGTCCATAAACTGGTCGCGCCGCACTGCTCTAGCACTAGCAAAATCCGAGGGCTAATAGTGTTTCCAATTAGATACGTGATGTCTTACACACCTCACCACAACAGTGTTCTAGAGGAAGTAAACCCTGAAGCAGCAACAACTACTACTTATGCTAAGACATATGTTATTAGTTAAATTTTTGAAACTTAACATAAGCTTAGAATGGCAATTTAATAATGTGCGTACTTCCAGCATTCGTTTACCGAAGTGTTATTAGAATGAGCATTTACTTTACCGACTAATTTGGAACAGACGACAAATGGGAAGTAGTAGGAAAGGGACGTATTATAGCAAGAGCGTCAAAATCGTAACATTGAAGAGAGAAGCTCATTATAACACACTGGTTTTGCAAGCGGGATGAGTTCAAGCTTCAACAACTACCATTCACATTCATTGCTGGTGCATTTTTCAAAATTAAAATACTTTCAGCACATGCCTGACTGCCTGCTCAATCGGCACTGATGCATAGGTCGCTCAATTTACTGATACTTGCTTCATGACACCAGTTCGTGCTTACATGATATCTCACGACTCGCTTCTAGAAACGTCTGGCAATATGGGGAAGGCGGACTGTTAGGGTTGAAATACGCCGACGAGCACAGGTGAGCAGAGTCCACAATATAAACACGAATGCATGTATGCAGTCTTACCCAGCATGCCTCCGGATGTTGATAAATTATTGCCACACACACGGTTAGCCAGACCATCTACGTGTGCTTACCAATTTGCAAAATACTTGTCGATACAGTTTCTAATTCTTGTCTCAGACGTAAACACCGCGATCTTACTGGGATGGTCCGACATCCTCTGACGCCACAGAGTGATCGCCACGTCCGTTTGCATCGACCTCCGAGTAGAAGCCGCAGCTGCAACCCTTCAACTTCCATGACAAGGGTCGCATTATTCAGTTGGATTCCAACATCTCTAGCTATCCACTCTTATTTCTACCTGTAATGTAGGAGGTCATATAAAATTGGATGAAAACAACCTTAATAGACTACCGCACTCCTAAGCATGGATGTGCCGTGAACCAATCCCTCAAAGTAATTGCTGTACTCAGAGGCATATGGCGGGAACTGAGACTCTGGTGCTTCTAGAACTAGTAGTTCCCGATGTCTGAGGACCGGGATCAGTAAAGTTAATTTCACTCCGGATACATTATGGTTCCACTACTTTTGTGGGAAGGAAAGTCAGAATTCGGCATTGAAATTGAAAGATACAACGCTGCCTCATACCTTAAGAGCATGTCTAGGAATGAATTTTGGTATTATTTTTGATTTAACAACTCAGTTTACAAGGCCTATTAACAGCTGCATCCGCCATTAGAGCACTAATTATTCTGTCAAACATTTGTTTCATGATGTTCGACATGAGTAACCGGAATGATTCTGTTAATCATCGCAACTAGGCATTTGTACAAAATGAAGTTGTGGTTATCAAGAACCCGCATTTATCAACCAACAATAATATAGTAGCCACAACAGGCGATTCTGTGTACTTGTAACCACGAATGTTCATGCACAAATTAGACAGCAAAGCCCATCATTTTTAAAATGTAAGTGAGATTTCGTTTACTAAGAGGTGCCCAGTAGAGAGTCGACCAATGAGAGCCAGGTGCGCTCCATCACATCACCCCAAATCTTAGCTCAATGAGGTCCTATCACTTGGGCGAATGAAGACTCATTTCACGAAGAAGCAAGCATCCACAAACTGTTCAGCAAAGTAGTCTTCACATCAAGGCAGACGGATGGACACTGGTGGGAAGCATGAGGTAGTGTAGCTGGTGGGCATCGCCACTAAGCGTTCCTTTGTGCTGCGTTTGCCCATTAAGATATCAGTGCAGATTCGGGATGCAACATTATTTCGATATCAATGCCTTTAAGCACTTAAGTGCTGATGAGATAGTAAAACTGCTCGTCAAATATTCAAGCACAGAATTACATCCCCTTTTCAGTAATTCGAACCCTTCAGATATTTGGCAACACTACTTCATTTACGCCTTTGTTTACCTCTTCTCATTGCAATCTATGCACACCCGCAATCAAAGGAAAGACATGGTCATTCCAAAATAACTTTCACCAACTGCTCCCTAGTGGTACTTTACAATAGTCTAGGTAGTTTGTTATTCCGTCAGCATTCAGAAAATTAGGCGCGTTACGATTCGTTGTGGAGTTGAACAAATTTACTTGCCCTCAAATAAACTCAAAACCTATTAGCATGATTCGCTGGTTGCCAACTCAATTAACACAAAATGCTATTTGAACTTATCATCTATTTACGACGGCACACATTTTCACATGATTGGAAACACTTTATTCACATATATATTAACACTGCAAACACGCCATGCAAATGATGGAATTGAACCAATTCTTGATGTCGAAACAAAGTGCTTTCCATTGCACAACATTAACGGTACACATGGGGATTTCCTGGGCTTCTGAATCAACCTTCACCAAATTTGCCAGCATCACGTGACCCGTGCATGGAAAGCAAGGGCGAAGCAAAAAGGGTGTAGTAGAAAGAGCCTCCACGAAGACAACCTCGTAAATGAGCAGGCAACCTGTGTGTGTGCTACTGGGCAGGCACAGGTTGATTAGTCACTGTGGCTCTTGAAGTGAAATCAAAGGAGGAAAGCATAACGGTCTGTTCTTCATGGCACACAGACACACCAAATTAACTTTAGCTGACCACAACACTACGCATCATATCGCACGGGTGCCCCTTTCCCTGTAAGACGCACCTCCACGGTTGTTAAAAGGGGGCTGTGCACAATGAGGGTGGTAGAGTTCGGATTCGAACAGCTCGCACTTCCAACTAGTGACAAGAAGCTTGTTTGACCTGTACTGAAGCTAGGACTGGGTAGCAAATGTGCAGATTAAGAAGAATTAAATTCGAAATAGAGGGAAAGAAAATTTGTGCTGCTTGGTTATTGCACTCAAAACTTCTTGCCAGCAGCATGGATCACCGTGCATATTGTCAAATTAGTGAAATATAAAGAGGAAGGAAGCAGCCTTGAAGCAGAAAGGAAGATGAAGAATGCAGAGAAGGAGTTAGAGTCGTTCCACGTTGTTGTGCTACTGCATGTTGCCTGCAAAACTACAAACTCAAATATTTGCCTTTTGTCTTAAATGCAGCAATTTGGTAAAAACACATGTTCGGATAACATCCAAACAGTGCCCCATTTGTTGTCTAACGGATGCAAACTAATCCAATGCAAATAAAACGAGGTTGGGTGAAATGGGAAGCACAAAAGAGAGGGAGAAATATGGAATTTACTCTAGGATTATATCCACTGCTTCCAAGGTGAGTGAAAATTACTGCGTTTGCAATTCTGCTGTCAGGTTGAGCTAAGTTAAGTGCTTTCTAAATTGCAAGATGGATAAGGCGTAAAAGGTAGGAGGAACATCTTATCTCATACACGAGAACTTACAACGTGTGTGCAGACAGATGGATGTGTTCAGTTCCCATCATTCGGCATGACTTAATGCCTTTCACCAGAGTTCACATCAAGGGGTATTCTGCCTTTCTTGAGCATCAAGTGGAGGCTGTACTTAGTTGAGACCACGGAATCAGGCAAGAAAAAGGAATGGAGAACCTTAAAGAAGGCAAGTGGTAAGATTGCCTCTGCGCAGAAATCATGTGAGTTTAGAAGTGCTTGTGAACAGCTAATGAGCTTATTCCTCCAATTATCCACTTATAAATCCGTTTGCCCACCCGGGAGTACACACACCCACCTATTTATCTACCACCAAATTGCAGCTGACTATCATGAAATCCCAGTGAGGCTAGTCACATGTTTACTGACCCGTCAAAATACATTTGCTAGACTACCTACACATACATATGTATCGAGGTGAATAGTAGAACCGAACCAGAATTCAAACTGGTGTCAAAAATAGAACCAATTTCTCGCTCACCTCTCGTCTACAGGTTAATGCTAAACGGATCGCATTGGATCAGCTATGACTGTGTTTAAACCTACTATCAATGAAAAGTCATTCTATGTCCACTGCTGCCCCATGGGATGCACAATTGCACAGAATATCAAAAGACGTAATAAGGACTGCGCCCAAAACCGGTACCGATAGCAATGGCCGCCTGGATCTCCTGTTAGCGAATGATAAGTTTCCTACAAAATCGTTTTCGCAACAGATAGTCACAGGGATGGACAGATGAATAGCAGTGTAAAAAGGGGCAGACACTACACGTATGCACATACAAAGATGCAGAGCACACACATTGTTCATTCGGACACACACCAAGAGAAAGTGGATGCAGAAGGCACGAATTGATGCCTCTCAGTTCGGAGTCATGACTACCATCTAAGATGGTAATCAACCTGGCTTCTCTACTGGCATTTACTACAAGAATAACAAAGGATAATTGGCACTGAAAGTGAAACATCTGAAGGACAGCTTTGAAATATAATGTAATATGAAGATATGGGTGGTTGTTGGAAGTGCTGCGGAAGTAGGTGATGGAAGATATCTGCGAAGGCAATAATGGAAAACACGGCCTGTGTGCAGGCATATTGGTGTCCGCCAGATGTCGAGGTGAACCAAATAGAAGGAGTAAGGAAAGCGTCGTAATATGGAGAGGTGTGTAGTAAAACATGCAAGGAGGAATATGTGACAGGCGAGAGAGTGCAGATGAACACATTTAATGAATATGCAATGGAGGTGATGAGGAGACTGTTCAGATCGACGTAAGTGGAGATCGCATTAGTACAACTTCTTCTGCATTACAAACTCGATCATTCGCATCACTAATGCTCATGCCTGTTTGCATCTTCCGAAAGTGAAGTGGGATGGATTGTGAGGTGATCAGCAGGAAAGAGCAGTTGAATGGATCAAGATCATGCTTGGGGTTCTGACTGATTTTCGTCACTAGTTTTTATGGTGCATGTACCATCGTTAGCGCCATATTCACTGCTTACATGATAATATGAGGAGAAATGTCAGTTGACACCTCAGTCGGTGTGCAGACTGTGGCCAACATTACCAACGGGTAGACGGAATTGGTGGATAGGAGTGTTGGAAGTGGATGAGGCGAAATCAAGTAGTCATGCATTGTATTCCATTGCTTTCACACTCGTAGCATTGAATTGTAATTGCAGCCAAGTAGCACGATAGCTCATTCTCACTGACAAGTGCACTTCGCGTCACAGGTGACTCAATTTAGTCTTGGCGCCTGAGGAGTAGACACTCGTCTTTGCCCATTCCTACCATGAACGCAATCATGAAAACCATCACTCGACCTAACTGTCACGACTATCGTCTCTAAACCCTTGGTAGTAGAAAATTCTTCTAACCACACTCAACTTCCTGCATGCCTATTCTCATCTTGTTCCAGCAACACCAACCTGTCTTTACTTAAATCATAACTCAGCACAGCCCTCACATTTCGTGCTCCAATCGGTAGTCCATGGTGAAACAATGAGCTGTTGGCGCCCACCTCTTTAACCCATGCGGATGTTTGGGTAGCATGCAAAGTTGCTTAGTCTACGCAAGTTAGATATTTCATGCAAAATATGAAAATGGGATGACTACACCAAGCCACTGCCATCTCTGTCATATCTCTCAGCTACCTGTGTTGAGGATGTCGCCACTTACCAATTATACTTGATGGCTACTAATTTGGCCTTGCCATCTTTCAGTTCCATTACGCCTACATTGGTAGAAGTAAAGTTGCACGCCGTCGTCATTCCACTCAAACAAGTCCTGCTAATTTGGTGCTGTGTACTCCTCATTACCGGTTTTGATTTCGCCTTCCGTCTTCAGCCATTATCATATGACTGTTGCATTGGGCAAAGTTTGGTGGATGTTTCAGTACTGCTCCCCGTCTATTACTTCATCTTTACACCTTTGCACACATTCTGCGCATGAGAACACTGAGTCCTCTGAATTCACAAGAACCATTGCATATCGAAGAAGCTTGCTTTTCATTGGATGACACGCCTCGCTAATCAAATAGTTGTCTTGTAATGGAAGGCAAAGATATGCCAAAGGAATTCCAGAGAAATTGTAGCATTGGGGAGACGGAAGACGGATCATGGGTAATACTTCTGTCAACTCCGCTAAACACACACAAGAGTTGGTCGATGTACAAAGCTGAGTGAACCACCAGAGTCGCGGTAGGGTCAGAAATGTGGGTGATATAGGCGCAGTCAAATTTCCGACGAAAATGCACAAAGGTTAATTTCGTCATTACGCTATCCCATCAGCATCATTTGATGCAACAGGCTTAATTACAGGTTTTTTTACTATATTTGCTTTCCCAAAAGCATCCCTTGAAATAGTGCGTTTGTAGTTTGGTCCTTTTAAGTGGGCGAAATGATGTGCACTGGTGCAATGGTGGCGATTGACTGTATGCAAACCGAGTCCAGGTAAATGACGGTACCAGTTCCTGCTTAATGGAGCATGTGCCTTCATCACGTCAATCACATTCTAGTTGATAGGTGTATCCTCGAGCTGTTTGACGATACACAAAGACAATGACCCATAAATTCTCACAGATTCCGACTTATGTCTCCTGAATTTTGGCGAATTCAGCGTCATCACACTTCCAATCAGAACTTCATGCAACACAGAGGGACATCAAGCTCCCAGCACTTGCGCCAATTTCACTGACCAAAAACAAGCTAGGAGCTACTTCTACTCGTTTAAATCTAGTTGTATGAAATCAATGATGAACAGAACACCCTTCTATGAGAATGGTATAGTAGAATAATTCCGCACTACTGTGCATTCGAATATGTTGCTTTCCACATGCGATAGGCACTCGGGCTAACTAACAACTACATTTGACGATAAAACAACAACAATGTCATTAGTTGTAAGTAGTTGTTGCCTTTTCAGCGAGGCTTACCTTCCATCCGCCTTCTTTACACAAGACCATATATGACCATCCACTTTGTGCCTACTCACTGCACGACCAGATGCCTTTAACGCCTATTCCTACTTTCCATACACGCCATTAGAGTAGTCCTGAAAGAAGTAACATGCATGCACGTTATTGCTGTCTTTAACAAGGCCAAATGAAATATCACCGCTGCGAACTATTCGTAAGTAATATAATGATGTGACGGAAACCTAATCTGACCTGCTCCTCCTACTGGCATGCAGCAAACCTAACGCTTCACCTTATTTGCGTAAGAAAGAAGAACTTCCAGACGTGCATTTGTGGCAGAAGCAATGTGCTTTCTACAAGCCTGGTTGATTTGACTCCCTCGTAGCCCGTAGACCGTAGCCCACCACGTACCCTACCTTATTCTGCACGCCTTTGCATCACCAGTTCACGCATCTACTCATTTCTACTTTACAATTCAAACTTTTGCATTGCTTTTGATTTGTCTAGCATTAAATTAACGTGACAGCAAATTTCAGGTCAGTTAAACCATGTCCAGTTTTAAAGAAGTTGCATCTTCTTTGCAATGAATATTCAAATATCTGGCATAAAGTATGTTAATGCGCGTTCTCCAGTGAGTGTTGTGCAGCAATGTTCAAGCCCGCGATTTCGCACTAGCGTGTCAACGGTTTCCCATCCCACGACATCTCACATTCATAGTTAACAAACCTTCTCGAAGTTGCACGCTCTCAAACG